GGGTGGAACGGCTGACGACGCACGGATACGCTACCGTGTGCAGCGCCGTTGAGTCGGACGTCGCGGCCAACCCAGCAGTCAGGGTCGCAACTCCGGAGGTCCAGGATCAGGCCACGCCTCACGAGGACCACACCCGGTAGGCCTCGCCCACGAACCTGCTCCCGGCCACTGCACCCAGGCAGGAGCCGTTCGGCAGGCCCCGTCCTTGGACCTTGTACAGGCCGACGGACTCGACCTCGAACGGACACACCGGAGCTCGACCTGGCCGACACGTACGGGTCCCACGTCCGGCTCAGGAACGCTGCCAGGAACTCGTCCTCTCGAGCGGCGCACCGCTTCCTCTGCCTTCGTGGCCTCAACCCTCGAGCTCTCTTTTCCGCATGTTCCTTCTTCTTGGCCAGGGCACCGCCAGGTACCCTCGTGTGCACCCTGCAGCTCATGAGCTCGTGGCCCACGTCCGAGTCTGGCGCGTCGCTCGGCACCACTCGGCGATCCTAGATTCAGCCAGCAACTCCCCTGGCATCTAGATCCTCGGCCACCCTGAATCCTCGCCCGGCTCCGTGCTCCTCTGTGCGCACTCCCGCGTCTCGCCCGGCAGAACATCTCGCTCGTCCCTTGCCGAAGTGCGACGCTCTGGTGACACCGGGGCTTGATGGCGTGGGTGCGGCCACGGAGCAGTCAACCCGCATCGGAGACGCGATGCTCCATGCGGGGCATGGCCAGCCCGTCCAGCGAAGAACGTGCGCCGAGACGCGATGCTCGACGCAACCGTGACCATTAGCCAGGCCACGTTCATCGCTGTGTCGAACGGCTGACCGTGGAGACGCCTCGCCGAGATCCGCGATGCCCTCGGCAAGGAAGAGAACAGCAGGCCAGGCCGCGCCCCGAGATGCAGTACTCGTGCCGGCAACGCCGCCCCAGCTGGTAGTAGGACGGCAGTAGCGTGAACGGCCGCGTTCCCTGGCCGGAAGCTGGATCGCCTTCGTCCGGCGCTTCGGTCCGCTGTCTCCCGTCTGCCGCTGCTCCGGCTCGTCCCCAGCCACACAGCCTACTGCCACGTAATGGTCGCCCGTGGCCCAATCGTGGCACGCCACCTCTATGGGCCACCACAGGTCATCAGCTGATTCGCTGACACTCACGCGCACATTACACAACTTTTCTCACAATACACAGTGATGAGGAAGAACAGTCCCGTGGACTCACGACTCTCGAGCAGTGGTGGCGGAGATGCCTGGACCAGCGCGGTCTCGGGCCTCGTTACCGAGCTCTCTGGTCCCTCATTTTTTTCCCTCAGCGCTCACCCATGCCAGCAAAGCCTCTCCACTCAGCCCCATCTCCTTCACAAGCTTAACTAGCTTTCTCTTGTCGTCCATTCTCGTCCGTTACACACCAACAACGTGAGGCTCTCAGATGTAACGCGAGAGCTTAGTCCTGTCTCGCGGACGCCAGAAATTGTGATGGTTAAGGACGTTCGTCACTGTGTTTGTTGATAGCGGACGAAAAAGGATTAACATCAACAATGGATGCGAACAAAAGAAGCGTTATATTATACACTAGAGAACGAAGTGGCAGGTGAAAACAAAACTATATGTCCAACCCTACACGCCACGCGTCACGCAACATGTACGAGAGTCAGACCTCTAGCATGCGGAGAGCTCGCGGCTACGCTTACTCCGAGTCCAGCGCGTAGAGTTCTCAGTTCGCAAGAGAAAAACGCTGCCTCACAGTTTGGGTCCCCGTCGTCCCGACATGATGCGATCGTCGACGTGCGCGAGGGCAAAGGTGGCACGGCTGGAGCGGCTGGAACGGCTTACGGCACACGGATACGACTTATGTCGAAGGCGTGCCATATTTCAAGACTCTGGTGAAACCAACGTTACTAGATACTTTTTTCAGTTTGCAAACTGTGGCGCCGCGAGTGTCACCCTTCCCTGTACCGGTCAAAAAGCCGCAAGCGCGCCCCCTCTCGGCGGTGCCGTCTGACAACGGCACCGACGCTGTCAGCGTTGGCGTGATCTGCATTGTGCCGGGTGTTTTTTAATGTCTTCAACTCAGTCATCGCTTTCCCTGTGAGGTACACGCTCACATGTGTCATGTGACGGTTCTTGAATGTGAGAAAACATGCCTCGCTGCTTTGTGATTGGTTGCCGAAGTGGGTACGATTCGACGAAATCCGCGGCCGAAAAGAGACATTTTTTCAAGCCTCCCGCTGACGAGGTGCGCCTTCAGAGATTTCAACCATAAAATAGAAAGCAAGGAAAAGGTGGCTGTAGCAAACAAAAAAGCACGTCTCCTGTAACTCTGGCTCTTGCCTTTGAAGAAAAGTGGCTTCCAGTTTGTTTGTTTCAGTGCTCAGTAAATTGTGTTTAATTTGACTTTGTTCAGTGTTCAATAAATTGTGTTTAATTTGACTTTGTGTTCTCGTCATCTCGCGCATCTTATAGCCTTAAAAAGGCCAAATTTTTATTGAAGTAGTTCGGTATCTTTCTATGCTATGCACTTCGATTCAGGTGCACGTTAGAGAAACCCCCGGTGGTTAAATTTTCCAAAGCCCTTCACTACGACGTGCCTCATAATCATATCGTGGTTTTGGCCCTTAGAACCTTCGATATTATTGTACGATGAGCCACGCACTACAGCCATCTAATGACGCCGGATATGTTAAAGTGTAAAGCCCAGAACGACTTGTTCGTTCCAGATAACTGAATCGTATGATTCGCATTATTTTAGAAGAAAGATACCGAACTACTTCAATAAAAATTTGGCCTTTTTAAGGCTATAAGATGCGCGAGATGACGAGAACACAAAGTCAAATTAAACACAATTTATTGAACACTGAACAAAGTCAAATTAAACACAATTTACTGAGCACTGAAACAAACAAACTGGAAGCCACTTTTCTTCAAAGGCAAGAGCCAGAGTTACAGGAGACGTGCTTTTTTGTTTGCTACAGCCACCTTTTCCTTGCTTTCTAATTTATGGTTGAAATCTCTGAAGGCGCACCTCGTCAGCGGGAGGCTTGAAAAAATGTATCTTTTCGGCCGCGGATTTCGTCGAATCGTACCCACTTCGGCAACCAATCACAAAGCAGCGAGGCATGTTTTCTCACATTCAAGAACCGTCACACGACACGTGTGAGCTGTGTAGCTCACAGGGAAAGCGATGACTGAGTTGAAGACATTAAAAAACACCCGACACCATGCAGATCACGCCAACGCTGACAGCGTCGGTGCCGTTGTCAGACGGCACCGCCGAGAGGGAAGCGCTTGCGGCTTTTTGACCGGTACAGGGAAGGGTGACACGTTGGGTGACACTCGCGGCGCCGCAGTTTGCAAACTGAAAAAAAGTATCTAGTAATGTTGGGTGAAACAATAATCACTGACCTAAACGAACATCGACACCTTTTGTTCCCTTGGCGTAGTTAGTTCTGGTCAACACCCAAAGAAGTTATTTTTACGAAATTACCTTGTAGAGTTCCAAAACTGAGTTACTGCATGCATAGAGCTGGTCTGGCTCCTTCCCCTCTTTGCTTATTCTGTAACAAGGATGAAACAATGGAGCATTATTTTTTACCGTGTAGTCGCTGCAAGTCACTGAAAAAAAAAAAAACATTCTTAAAGCGGCTTTTAATCGAATCAGGTTGGATTTCATTATTTCTAATATTCTCTTCTTCGGAGCCTCCTCATTAGGTCATTGTCACCGGGATATCCGTTCTGCTTAATCTTAATCGGATCAAGGCGATTTTGATTGCAAATATCTCAATTAGTAAAATTTGATTTCTTCTAACCGTTTTAAAGTTCATTAGATTTAAGAGTAATATGTGATCCACTCTATAAGTCATCGTTTCTTGGCCAATCTTCCAAAATGGGCATGAGCCATGCCTTTAGGCCACCATCGTCATCATCAGTGCTTTTGCGCGAAACATCCAGCTTTTCACCCAGTGACATGCGCTTTCATTCGACACTCACGATAACAAGCACGTAATTGTAAGATGAAGGCTGTAGCTGCTCCGGCTGGCCTCGAGAATATGTAGGCAGTCGCCTTCAACGTCAGTGTGGGGCCTGCATTTCGTCATGCGCTAATCAAGCGTCATTGTCGAACATAAAATTGTGGCCACCGCGATTAGCTCCGGTGGCGCACGGCTGGCGAAGCTTAGTGCGAAAGCCACGGTGAAGCTGTGCCATGAGAAGAGCGGTTGTACTTGTTGGAGTTATCACCATGACTTAATATAATACCTGGAGTTTTACGTCGCAAAACGACGATATGCTTACAGGAGGTGCCGTAGCCGAGGGCTCCGGAAATTTGGCTCTATGGTGCTCCATAACATGCGTTGACATCACACATTACGAGGACCTCTACCATTTCACCTCTATTGAAGTGCGACCGCCATGGCTGGGATCAAAACCGTGACCTTCGAGTCAGCAGCCAAGCACCGTATCCACTGTTCCACTGAGGTGGACGATCAACACGTCTTGAGAGGTGTTGGATACTGTCATGCCTCTCAAGACTATTCGCGCCAGTGAGTATACACCTTTTCATAGGAAGGAAAAAAACACACCGCCATGATGGGCTGTGCGCGGGAATACAAAGGCTAAGGGTGCAGCGTTGTCAGTGCATTTTCGAGGGGACGCGCCGATTTGCACAGCCCAAGGAGGGCTATGGCGGTGCCCAGGGAGGCGTTTATGAAAAGGTGAATAGTTCGTTTCACTGACGTTTCACTGACCGTTTCACTTTTTTTTTCTGTACACATTTTTAGCGTTCGTTTCACCGACCAAGACAGCGTGAAGTACAATCTCGAGCCTTCTTTATAAACAATGTTCCCCTGCCCTCTTTCAGCTTTCTTCATGATTAACTACAGCACTACCAAACGTGACAGATTTTACACGCGTTTGTAGCAATTTGAAATGGTTCGAAATCAACATTTCGTGATGCATTCAGTTCCACGTGCCGCCGCACCACAAAGCGGCGCTGTCAGTCGCTCCCTTATCACATGGCGGCGTCGCAGAATGCGGGCATGCATGTGCTCCCGTACGTGATCCAGGACGCTTCGCTTTGGTAACCTCGCGCGCCCAACTATGATACAGGGACTGTCTCCGCTCAACCAGGCTATCCTGGGAACGCTATTCACCTGGGGACTGACCGCATCCGGTGCCGCACTTGTATTCGTGTTGAATTCGACCAAGGTGAGAGTTTAAAAACGGGCGACAGTTTCACCGGAACGGTGGCGGGCCATCTCAAAAACAGCTGTTTCCTCCGTGCGTTGCCGCTGTCGTGTGCGCGTGTGCATTCACAAGTGCAGATCGCACCACCTGCACTTGATTGCATCTCGTGCCTTCTTACAGCGATTGTGTGCGAGAAAAAGCGCTCAACTGGTGTCTATATTGTGCACCATATCGCATCTTGCTATCAGCTGGTGTATGTCTGTGTATGGGAGATAGGCACTGCTGCCGATAGTTCAAGCTGGCGGCCTCATGACCTGTAATCGTTTAATCTAAACGTTACAATTACAATAAAAAATAACCAAATGAGGGAAACTTACGAGCACGTTTCGACCACTTTCGTATGATTGACGCATTTTCACTGTGCACGTATGTTCCGACTGCGAGTGGAATTAAAACTTTCGGCGTACACTTCTGTAGACGGGGCCAATCGTGATAGCCTCATCGCCGTGACACCGCGGCGTCATACGATGCACGTTCAATCGCAATCCAGGCCGATCCGCGCAGAATAGTCAATTGCGATTGGCTCATTTCCACGGCTTGCAAAAGATGAGCCAATCACGACTTCGAAGTTTGATCACGATTGCGAGTTCGTCGCGTGTATCTTCGTAATGATGGATTCTGTGTAGTTTATTCATTGGAAACGCGTGTCAAGTTCGAATTCCATCACAGATTGACGGAATTTTCCTGGCAAACGACTTTTGGCGACTGGAATTGGCTTTCCCGAGCGTTTTTCTTGTAGCCAAAGCTGTGCAGTTTTTAAAATTGTTTACAGCCCATCTAGCGGTACAGCTTGGTCACTGCCCGTGTGATTGGATTCACTTACATAAAGTTTGCTTTTTCATAAAAATTTCTCTTATCTGGTATTTTTCAAGTATATGGGCCCTTTGTCCAAAACATTTTTGCACAGTCACTGCAGACACTTGCAAACTTGCCCATATCACACACTTTGAATTCTGGTTACGTTACTCATCTTGTTGTTGCTGTTTGACTCCCGATGCCTTTTCTCATTCAATCCTCATTTCCTGTGTCACTTTAGTTATTCTGTAAATAACCACGACGCTCGATTACTGGTTCGTTAATGTTATTACGAGCTGTTGTAGCAATATGTTCCATTACCGTGCTTCTCTCAAGGATCTGACTGCACGTTTGTTATAACAAGACAAATTTGAGCCTGTTGGTCGTACTTCATAATTAAATGGCAGCGCAACAACACACCGACTGGTTTCGTGTGCCTTTTTTTTCTGTAAAGGTGTTGCTGTGCTGCTGTTCATTACGCATATTTGCTAATCGTACACTTTGCTGCATTTTAATCCATGTGCTGGAAATCTGGCATTATTGAAAAGCAGAAGGTTACCATCTCCTTTGCAAGCATGCATATTGCATTGCGGGTGTTTTGACTGTATGAGACAGTTTTATCACACTGGTAAGCTATTTTAGTGGCAGCAGCATCGAAGTATGCCTGTTTATGCACTGTGACCTTCTTACTTTGTGTTATCGATGTAAGTACTTCATGCTTCCCGCTCTTGCCTAGTAATTATCCGGTAGCGTTCTGCATTAGCAGTATGTACCATGTGCTACCGGTCTGCTATTGCACTGTACGTCAGTCCTATATTGTTAATTGAACCATCATGGTGTGCTTGCGTTCCATTTACTGTACACGTCCTGCGGTGTCTTATCTTGTCAGGATAGCGGTATATGCTAGCAAGTGGTTTGTTAAGGACTGTAGTGGCTCCAGCAAGTGGCTATTATGAACTACAACAGCTGCTGTCAAAGACGCTACGGTGGTCATAATCCAGTGCACTTTGCTCCATTGCCCATTATATCCCATCAGTCATCTTGTGACTTTCATTTCCTGCCAGTCATCCATTCCACCTGTCAATCAAGGAAAGCACGTGTGTGTAGAACTAAAGAAAAGAAGGTATTTTTCATGGCTAGAAGTACACCTGTGAAATTATGAATGTGTGTGTTTGTTTTTATGATTCACAAGCTTGGTCTTGCAGTCGTGTGAACTTGGCTTTTTATTGTCTGAAGGTCTATGTGTTGCTGTTTGAGGCATCAGGCATTGTTCGTAAAGAATGCTCTTGTGACTTTTACGTTCATTGTTGTGGGCCCCGAGTCATTGACAGAAGCAGCCTTTATACTTGACGAGGATAGTGCATAATCTTGTTATACTGGTACAAACCTACACATAATGATATCGGAAAGTAGGATGGAATGTTAAGAAGGGAAAGACGGTTCAATGAAGGAAGGAACGAGTGCATGGAACTTGACGGGCCCAGGCTGTCGTGTGCTGTTGTCACTTGGTGTAATGCAAGCAAAAAAATATATATAAAATGAGAAAGATAAAGCAGTTGAGAAGCAAAAAAAGAAAAAAAAGGGGGAAAATAATAGGAAAGAATATATAAATAAATACAGAAAAAAAAGCAAAAGAGAAAACCAGAAGGAAAGAAAAAAATACATCAGAGCTCCGCACTTCTTTCGACTTTGGCATCACTAGGGCAAAGCCACTTTCACTTTTATGTTCAGTGTTTGCAAACTCTGACTTGTGTTTGTAGATGACTGAAATACCAACAAGAAATCGCAAAGTGGAACACGTTCCACAAGTACTACTGTGAAAGCACAATCTCAGATCAGTGATGTACTTCAGTTGCAAAACATTGTTTTGCGCCTCACAACAATTCAAGAAACTGAAACTACTCTGACATTATGGATTCTAGCTTGAACGAAATGAAAGAATGCATTCTGATTAGTAACCTTTTTTGAATTTTGGCAGCCCATGACTGCACATCTTTAAAAAAATTGTTGTGAGTATGCTTGAGTGAGGCTGCGTTCCTTGTCAGAGAAGTGACGTCGGGATAGCGTCAGTGACACTAGGTTCGACATTTCGAGACAAGTGCAATCATCGACTCTAAATGGAAGCCCTTGGCCATGCCAAATGTCATCCTTAAGTGTGCTAGCAGCACCGTTACAGACTTAAGAACTTCCATGTGGTGTGCGTCTTTGAAAGAGCTATGATTCATGTTAACGGGCAGTGAAACTAAATAAAAGGCACATTTGAACCCTTCACTGAGTAGGGGCTCCTGTCTTTGCAATGAGATCATTGTTTTTTTTTTTACACATATTTTAAGCATTAGTAGCAAAGCTGCCGTAACAGCTTGAATGTTGAATCACTGCTGAAAAGCACTGACATTCACCGTGAACTTCGTCAGACTTGCTCATGTTTTTATGGCGATTCTTTTCTTAATTCATCTCTTTACGTCAGTGATGATGATAGTGTTTTTTGATGGGCATTGAGGGTGGGATGATGACAGATGTGCCAATCTTTGTTGCCCAAAATAGCCTCTCAGAAACGGCGATGGTCTCTACTAATGTCGTACCATTTGACGACATTCCTAAGGTGACTTTCCGACATGACTTGGGGCTGGTTCTGTATGTTTCTTCGTTCGTATAATCTATCTTGCACTGTTTTTACCTTTTATGACCTGATCGATTTGTGGAGGGGCGGGAGTGGGGTCGCAAAACTTTCTTTTCTTGATCCAAGATCGAGTGATGACATTTCGCAACATGTTGAATCTGGCTTGAGAATACTTCCTAATCCCTCAGTTGACAAAGCATGTACAACATCACAATTTTCTGTTTTGGCCTCTTCGTATTCTAAAGAATAACTTCTTGAATTTTTTATTTGGCGGCTGTAAAGTTTTACTGCAGGATCCTACTGTGTCATCTTCCTCTAAGTGGCTAATCTTGGTACAGTCTGAACTACAGATACGTATTTGACTGGCTTTTCAAAGGTCATGAAAACATGCTTCCTTTTTGCTTGTGACCTAATCACTGCTAATATGTTTATTTCATTGCGTATATTGCTTTATTTCTGTGATGTATACATAAATATTTATTGAGGCAGTGATATTGCCGTCTTGTTAGTTTATTACTGTGCTTGAAATTGTTGTCTATTTTATTATTCTTCCTAATGCTTTAGACCTAGTTGTTAATGCCTTGAAATTGTATTATGTTATTTATTTTTCACCACTTTTCACCAATAACTTATGCTGTTCATTGTTGGGCTGAAAAAACTTTGGTGTATTCCTTTGTACTCTGCTCCGTCACTGTAGAGCAGTGAATGGGTGAGAACGCCAGAGCCAGAGAGACAGTGTTCTGCTTTTAGTGTTGCCATACAAAATCCCAAATGTCTGAAACAACGTCAAATAAGGTCAAAGTAAAAGAATTGGTTTTTCATTTGAATTTCTCGCTGCATACTTTGGCATTCTCACTTTTTCTTTGCACCAAGTCTACCGAGCAACCATGTTCTTTTTTTAACTTTTTATTTTCAAAATTTCAAATTTTTATACAACTTATAAACGACTGTGTTAAGGTGGCATTGTTGTGAGGCATTCATACCTTGTCATAGCTAATTAGGAAGGCTTCTCGACCTTTGATTGTTGTCATGAGAAAGTATTTTTTTCGCATAACAGTAGGCACCTGTCATGTCTGTCAGTGTTTTTTGCAGGCACACTTATTTCTGCTCAAAGCTTCGGATGATTGGGGTTAACAATTTGACTCTCTTCTCTTTTGTTTTCTGTCCTTGCAGCGAAAAATTCTAGATGGAAGCCTTGGATTTGCTGCCGGGGTAAGTTGGAAGTTCTACATAAGGATTTTTTTGCCCGGTCGACTATGGTGCCTGGGCAATTAAAGTTATTGATGTTTTTCACTCATTAGTTTCTACGATGACCTGATGACAAAATGAGTACTTTCAAAGTTTTTGCTTGATTGAGCTCTTTTAATAGTAACAGCTCTAATCAAATTCCTGAAATGACAACTAAAGGGGAAAATAGCAACTTGAGACAGTGTTAGCAGATTACTGTTTCACTGTATATTTTTAGAAAAAATATGCTTCCACCATGAAAAGGTGTTTGATGAGCCAATAAAGGATTCAGAAACAAAAGACGAGTGAGAACATTACCACCAACTTCCCGCACACAGGTGTGAAATTTTTTAACAGCGAAATTGCTCATAGTCAAGGTGGCCCCACCACCGTGGTCTAGTGGCTAAGGTACTTGGCTGCTGACCCGCAGGTCGCGGGTTCGAAACCCGGCTGTGGCGGCTGCATTTCTGATGGAGCCGGAAATGTTGTAGGCCCATGTGCTCAGATTTGGGTGCCCGTTAAAGAAACCCAGGTGGTCGAAATTTTCGGAGCCCTCCACTACGGCGTCTCTCATAATCATATGGTGATATTGGGACGTTAAACTCCACATATCAATCAAATCTGAGTCAAGGTTTTCATGTTTGGGGTTGTGGTAGCGCTGATAACGTACATGTGCTCGTATTGTGGAGAGAGTGAGCCTCAGTAAGAAAGGGAGGGCTGCGTGTGCTATTAGAGCCGAAGGTGAAGGTGGAAGATGCCTAGGTCGGGCTGTGGGAAGCGAGGCCAGGTGCTGTCAAGGGGGTAACCTTCGAGAAACGCATCGGGAACGTTGACAGTGAGACATAGTTGAGTGTAAAATAGCGTGTTAATGTCTGTGCCGAGGAATTCGTGCTTTCAAGATGGCGAACATTTCTCATTCTCCCGAAGAAGAAGCTGCCCGACACAAGTTGCAGTGGGAGTCGGAGCAAGAATGGGCACGTCGTCGTCGAGCCAACCGCGTTGTTTGTGCAAGAGACACCGAAGCTAAGGGCCAACGAACGAAAGACTTGAAAAATGTAAAAGTACGATAAAGCCTGATGAGGGAGGAGCATGAGCTTCACTGTTTCAACAATGTTCGCGATGTGGAGCTGGCTGGATTTTTTTTTCTGTACTTATATGTTTAACTCGTGTATATATTTGCGACTTGCCTTAATTTGTAGATACTAGTGGTACTATCGATAGAGCTGCTACCTTTTTAGAAGAAGCAGGTAATGTACGTAAGCTATAAAACGATGGACATTTTTCCACCTCGAATAAAATTGATGGTGCAAATACGTAAACAGGAACAAAGAGACGCAAACGCCGACAAGCGCATGCTTCCATTGGTTCACATTTGGCTTGTTTGGATCTGTGTTTCCTTGTCCCTGTCTGAATATCTGAGCCATGAATTCTACTTCAACTATGTACCAACTAACTCGACAGCAAACGCTACTTAGCTGCCTAAGTTATTTGATTTTATTGCAACAGTCTCGGCTGGTTTTTGTTGTCGCCGCCGTCATTGACACACACACACGCACGCGTGCACATGCACGCGCGCGCACGCACACACACACACACACACACACACACACACACACACACACACACACACACACACACACACACACACACACACACACACACACACACTTTAGGGCTGAACTGCGTCAGCAATCCTTCTCTCGGTCTTTGTGAAAAAGAATTGTTGTTTTCGAGATCATAAGTTTTAGCGCATGGCAATAGAGGGTTTTTCATCTGTTTGTCTGTTGTCTGTTGTTTTTGAATTTCATGAGCATATATATGTACGCTCATGAAATTTTGTTGGAAGTAAGCGCTCCCTTTTGTCCCTTCCCCTGTCCTATGTTTTAAAACGCGCTACGTCGATTAAGTATGTCTTACCAACATTCCTAACTTTATACTCTAGTTGCCCACAGGAGGCACTTCTCATCAATGCCATCATTTACGCACGAGCATTGTTGTGGTCATCTACTTTGGCCGTACCACAGGAAACTTGGTTACTTAGCAAGCGCAATATTACTCCTAAAAATGCAAACCTTGCTTTATAAAACATGTTGCTATACATTCATTGCTTCATCTTTTTGGTAAAACTGTGACATTTTATGCTACCTTGTAGCTGGCACAGTGATGCACCAATCACTTATGTGCCATAAAATCTGAAACATGCAACCATCGTAATTGCCATAATGTTTTATACACTGTTATTTTTATAAGGAAAACTTGATGCATGGTATCTTAAAATGCTGATTACAATAATGTAAGTGGCGAAAATTGTACTGAGTCACAGTAGTCAGATTACAAAAAACTAGGGAATTTGTTTTTTACCGAATGTGGTTGTGTGTGCGCGTGACAAAAAGAGAGAACATGTTAGGAGTAGGAGCCTTGTGTGGTTAAGAGTAAGCGGGGATTGCCAGTGTTTCAGCTAATGATTGATATGTGGGGTTTAACGTCCCGAAACCACCATATCGTTATGAGAGAAGCCGTAGTGGGGGGTTCTTCAGGAAATTTTTGACCACGTGGGGTTCTTAGCGTGCACCCAAATCTGACCACACAGACCTGCAGCATTTTCGTCTTCATCGAAAATGCAGCCGCTGCAGCCGGGATTCGATCCCGCGACTTGTGGGTCAGCAGCCCGAGTACCTTAGCCACTAGACCACCGCAGTGGGGCAGTGTTGCAGTTATCAATTGAAGAAGATAGAGCAGGCTTTTGGGCAGGTTATGCAATGCATAGTGGATAATAGATCATTTTCATAATTGCAAAGCAAGGTTTCTTGCAATACAGTTCATCCCAGTTAATGGTGGCCAGTCATTTATGGAAGAGGTATCTTGAAGCTCAGTTTGCTTGCACTATGATGCATAAAATGTGGACTCATCTCTATTGATATAAATGTTCATACAGCAAAAAATGTCCAATTCGAACTCGAAGGGGACCATAAAGTTGCATGAATAAACCGAGTTAATATTAATTAGCTTTTATTGTAATAGGCAAGCTCTGGCTCATGCAATGGAGATCTCCTTCTCACTTCAAGCAGGACATGTGTCGCCATTAGTTGGGCGAATGTGTAGTGCAGGGAAGCACGCTTGCAGATCATGAGAAGGGTTTATTGGTGATATGTTGAGAGCATTCAAACAGATAATGAAAAGAAGAAAGGGCATTGGCTTGAGGTTGGATTCTACTGTTGGGTGAGAGAACTTCAAATGTGAAACCGACTCTGTCGATCGGTGTGGTGATGCTGGGGGCGTTTTGGTATAGTTTATATTGACCAAGAACGTTTTAAAATAAATATGCTGGAGGGGGAACTCTCTTATCCGCTTACTGGCTAAAGTTAAGCCAACACTTGCCCTCCATTTTATTTCAGAAACGCCCTCTTTATGAGCAATGTTTGCTTAAGAGTAAAGTTTTTTCGCTGTGTTAATGTAAATGCTAGGGCAATGCCAAAATAATAAATCGCTCCCGATGAAAGTAATGTATCCAGATGAGCATAGATGGCTTTATCTCCAATAAAATTGCCAGGGCTTTGATATTTCTCAAGGAAAGCAGTAGCACAGACACACACTCAGCAGCATTTGGTTAACATAATTTTCCATGTTAGACTTGTTAGGATGTGGGAGGAAAATGCTTGCTTTACTTTGCTGGACGCCAACATTTTATCGTGCCCTGCTAAAATGGGGGCTGTGGCCACCATCTTACTTAGGGTTACATGAAAAATAAAGGGGCCGGATTTCTATAAGTCGTTTATTCTTTATAAAAATGTAATAAAACATTGTATTCTTCAGTGAGCACAGAATTGAGATGAGAATTAATGTTGATGAGATGTTCTGGAAAACAAACATTTGTTTTGTTTCTATTTGTTTCATGCTTTTCACATGCACAGGTTATGCTGGCTGCTTCGTTCTGGTCCCTGCTTGCCCCAGCCATCGAAATCGCAGAGTCGACGGGTGGCTACGGCCGGATGGCGTTTGTTCCCGTCAGCATTGGCTTCTTCCTGGGGGCACTGTTCGTCTATGCCATGGACAAGCTCATCCCATCCTATGTGAGTTGCCCTGGCAACAACCGCCGAGATTAGACGGGGGCGCGCCGTTGCTCTGGCCATCTCATTCGGCGCGTTTCCCCTGTGAAGAAGTGTAATTTTGTCACCTCCTGAAGGCGCCGCGAGATGGTGATCTTTCCCCGTGAGTCTAGTTGCCCTCATCTGCCTGGCACAACGTACGATTTCAGTCGTTTCAGTGACAGCATCTACCGTGTTTGCACGTTGTTACACGTTGATACGTTGAGACACGTTATAAGCACGTGGCCAGCGTGCATCGTATTGCTATAGCTACAAAGAAACCCAGGTTCGTTATCAATACGTTACTTCTTGCTCTTGCGTGCTACTTTAGTGGTCATTCAAAAGAGGACTTGGGCAACTAGGTGGCTAGCACAAAATATTTCATGTGGGTTGCGTGCAAGCTTGCAGAACAGTGTTTTTCAAGTCACAAAGTATTACAACACGTAGGTATGCTTCTTTTTTATCACCTCCATGCAACTACGAAAGTACTGACGCAGCTACACAACAGCGTAGCTCTCTCTGGCTCAAACATCATAAGTTCTAGTATGTGGTACTGCGCTGGAAAGCATAGCGTTGTCTCTCGCACTTCAAGCAAAATTCTCACAGCGTAGCTGTTATGGTATATAGGCTATTTCTTCCGGTTTTTCTGTTTGTGTAACACAGAAGAACCGTTGTTTGTTTGCTTGTTTTTTTTTCTGGTCAGCCGGAGGTTTGTGTAAATATATTTAGGTGCTCGTGAAAGAACTTCACCTAATCTCCTCCTTCTTTCTCTCTTTCTTTTCGTTTCCATTTTTTTCTTTTTGTTTCATGGCCGCATTTGCATAGAGGCGACAGCTAAATGGTTGTGTAGCTACTTTTTGGTGCACGTTGAAGAACACCATGTGGTATTGTTTCGTGTGTCGTTGCATTTTGATGGAGGTCATATGCTTTTTTTTTTATGGTGGGAGGCAAAATAATCGAGAATCAAGGCTGTGGCTTTTCATAAATATTAAAGTTTCATGTCATGTATCCTCAAGAGATTTTGTCTACCCCCTCTCCCCGATCCCGGAACGGTGGCTTTGGTGCATCAAACCGCTTTCTTTCTTGTCTTGCACCTCAACTAAAGATGTTACTACATTCACCTCCATTCCATACATGATATAAAAAACTTAATGCACTACAGGTGGTTTAGCACAGCTGTACCTAAAACACCGTATAAAGGTTGCCTTATGTCTTCCATAGTTTTATGTCGAAGCGGAAAAGTAAATGCCAGATATCAGTGATACACAAGAATACTGGCAGAAATATTTAGTTTTCATATAAAAAAAAAGAAATTTCAGATTGAAAACATGCATATGGTAATAGCAAAATGAAAATATGTCACCGTGCAAACCTACTAACGAAAAGCTCGTTCTTTTTTTTTTTTTTTTTAAGAATGCACGACTGCACAGATAAATAAAATAGAAATTGTAGGAATCTGGGACAGTTTTTAGAGCAAAAAAATGCAGAAAGAATGGACACGAGCTCTGAATTGTATGTAGAAAAAAAAAGCACTAAATAGAGAACGAAACAGCCACAGTAAAACGCGCGAGGCAAAATTATCAGCGTTCGTTTCTATTCCATCTGCCGTTTTTCGCTGCGAACTGTCACCGAGAGGAAATTACCAGTGCGTAGCAAAACGTAACGTATGACGTCAGCGAACGCTCTTGTGGCGATACGTCTCTCCCGCAGTCCTGACTATGTGTTAGAATCGAAGAGGCGATAGCCCAATTGCACCGGTAAGCGACATTTTGCTTTCATACGGCACATATAAGTCCTTTAGTTTTCTACTGTTGCCAACCTTTCACCTTCCACGCATAAGCACGTCGGGAGAAGTGAGCCACGGGAGGTGCGCGCCGCATTGCGGGGATAAGAGTAATTATCCTGCTTTCTTCGATTATGTGCTCTGCATGCGAATGGGATGGCTGGAGAAACGGTGCGCCATCTGTTCATCTCAAAGGCCATGCTCTGGCTCTCGTCTTAATTGTTGGCCAGCCGGCAACGGCAAGGATGCCAATGTTGGGGTTTGAGGTACTCAGTGGCTGGCACCGCGCTTCCACCTGCTCATGTTATCTCCTTGTGTGACAACTATAAAGGTTCTTGGGAGGAGAATTCACCCTCGAATCGAAACTATAAATAGCTTGAACTGATAAATTGTTCTCTGAAGACTTTAATGTCCTTAATTTCACCACCTACGGTGGTGAAATAAATGCTAAAAGCTTAGGTTTTAAATTTACTGTCAAAATCTCTACTGTTGACCTCACAGATTTCAAAGTGTATTGTATTTCGTACACTCCTAGGATTATACGAAACGTAAATATCCCATAAAGTGGATGGGCTAGTGGTCACACTAGCCCATCCACTTATACCTCAATCGAAAGATCATTGGATGCTTTATCCAAAGGTTGTAGGTTCAGTCCCTTAGTTGAGGCACATTGATTTTTCACCCACTTTTATTTCTTTCTGACTTTGTTGTAATTCTCACACCGCAGCTAAAAACTGCAAATTAATTTTTGTACTCCTCCTTTAACCTCATTACTTGTTGGTTTTATATGATCATGTTTAACAAAAGAACAAGCCTCTCATTTATTCTGTCTATTCATTACTCGAACTATTTCGCAGCCAGGGATGACTGTACTCACCACCAAAAAAAATTGGTTCCGTGTGGAACGAATGACAACTAGGTATATTTGCAGTTTATGATACCAGGTGGCCCCACTTTTCCATACTTTGGCAATCCAGTTCAATCTTCCTCCTCCTTTCATGTCTTGCCTTTCATACCATTGTCGCCTGTTGCACCGCACGTGCGGCATCTTTGTATGCAATTAAAAAAAATTGAAGAAAGGTCATTACAAGGAAATAATCGTACTGTTTCATTCAGAAAAGGAGGTTCTTCAAAGTGAGCGGACAAAATTTTTTGGTCATATTGAGGTTTACGTTTCCTTTTCTTTCAGTTACGGAAGAGTTAAGACTCTTTATACATGTGACACTGTGTTCGAAACGCTACCTAGACTTTAATAATAAGATTATAATATTGATAATCATGAAGGAAAGGAAGGAGTGTTTATTGTGGTAGAAAAATGGAGAGATCGGCCTGAATCTATATTTTTGGCCTGCTACTCAGCGGTATACCGGAATCGTATAGCACTGTTGCTTTCACCAGATTGTAGTCAGTGCCGGAAGCAGAGTCAAGTCAACTAATGATCGATAAAGCGTCTCTCATCAGGCATAAACTGTGTTATCAAGCTCAATAGCTCAGAGGCCACACCTGGGACACTGCAATGGGCTTAAAACGCTGCAGATATGCATCGAGTTTGTCTCGCATCTTGTTGAACGGTAGCAATGACTTCTGTTAGCTACAGCTATTCTTTAGAGCTGGTTCATGACGAATGGGTTCATGGTGTTCACGGTAAATGGCCTGACCTTCTGCAGGATGGCCACAAGGCAGATCTGGCCCTGGCCATGCAGCTGGAGAAGAAGTCCACGCTCAAGCGTCACATTCAGACGGGCGAGGAGTCGGCGATCGGCTATCGGAATGGCTATTCCGGTGAGTTAAAAATGAACGGGATCTTCTGCCCAGTTGTGGCTAGATGGTGCCCCTTGATGAATTGATTTGATTTTATTTAGTTTTTTTTACCCTTATTCGCACGAAGCTTTACAGAGGGAAGCTAATTACGCCGTTGAGCCAAAGTACACGCGCCATTGCAGTCTGTGCCGTCTAGTGGCGAGCAGTCTCTTGTCAAGAAAATTTCTCTGACAAAGTTTTTCGGAGTAATGCTTTTGACAGCTATTCAGTCAGAGAAATGCCCTTGACAGGGGGAGAGTTCCTTTGCACGGATGAAGATGTTGCCATGCACCAAGAAATGACCGATGAAGCCATCATCGGTAGTGTGTGCGAGATGGGCGATTCCAATAATCGAAGACGAGAATACCTGAAGAAAAGAACGACCCCGCAGGATATGTTCAATGCCCAAGTATAGAATGTTGTGTTTGTAGATTCAAATGCATGTTTAAAAACCCCAGGTGGTTGAAATTTTCGGGACCCTCCACTACGGCGTCTTCTCGCCATCACACCATTGTTTTAGGACTTAAAAACCTGACAAACATTATTATTAGCCAAGCACAAAATGAGCACCCGCATATCTTTTTCCACCCAGATCCCAACGTACAGCTGCGCAAGAAGCCGCACACAACCACGCAAGTCAGCATTCCAACCGTCAACGATGCTGAGACGGCTGAGAACTTGAAGCGGTGGAAACGCATCTTCTTGCTTGTCATTGCAGTCACCGTGCACAACATTCCTGGTAAGCCTTCATCAATGATGTCACGTAACCACGCTCATAGGCAACTATGGGTGCACAGTTAAAGCTTGTTAATTTGGATTTTGCGAGACTGGAATAATGTACAAATTAACAGAATTCCACATTTCTGAAAGTGTCAAGAAAACACTGGATAATGTACAATATGTCAATATGCTTTTATTTTTATGATGAAAGCATAAATTTTGTGTTTTTTTTTGCATATGAGCAGTTTGAAATCCGCAATTTTTGCCACTCACCAATTTTGTTCACTGTGTGGCTGCGTCTCGGGCCTTTTGTCTGAACTAAACTGTAATGTGCTCACTGGAAATTAACCAGAAACCTCGTTATTATCGTTGCCGTGTGGTTCACGCTGATGGCAATGTGCAATGCAGATTGCGCCGCCTTGTTTCTGTTCACTGCAAATGCCGTTCTGGCTTCATTGCGTCACACATTTGTAGTTAATCACACTTGACATGCTCAGGTAATCCTCCGAATCAAGTGGTTTGAGGCCACAAATGATCGTATTAATCAGAATTTGTGCCAATAAACTGCACATATGCTTGCTGGAACTAGAGAGTGTGTTCAAATGATGCGATGTTTTGGTTGGTGAATGAATGAGGTTTTATTGTATTTGTGCGATGTTGTATTTTAAGGATGATGAATCGTAATGAAAAATAACGAGCTATTGCTTTGTCGCTGCACCAAAGAGCATTTGCGCAAACTTCAGAGATTGTGGGTTTTCTATGCGATGATAGTCCCGGCTGCAACGGCTGCATTTCCGATGGAGGCGGAAATGTTGTAGGCCCGTGTGCTCAGATTTGGGTGCACGTTAAAGAACCCCAGGTGGTCTAAATTTCTGGAACCCTCCACTACGGCATAGTCAGTTTTGGGACGTTAAACCCCACATATCAATCAATTCTATGCGATATGTATAACTATGAGCTTAATAGAACCTGAAGGGTGATGGAATTTCCTGCCATTTAAACTGAACTCTAATGACAGTACAGAGTTTAAACTTATGAGTCGTAGCGCCTGTGCAGCTTCATGTAGTAAACAGTATGCGCGTACAAATGCTGAATAGTTGCTTTTGAAAATCTCAGATGGAACTTTGAAAGAAAGCCTCAACATCGAAGGAAATATTGCATGTTTAAAGCGTTATTTTTATTGGGCTAAATCTTTACAAGTACTCTTGCAAAATAAATCTGCATTCCGATATGCTGCTGCTAGTGTGGTTTCTTTCGTTGGTTTTTCTTCTTGACATTTGACGTTGGAGGGATGGCTATAATTGGGTAAAATGCTGTAATATGTGGTTGTTCGAGGTCATGACTGTGCGTCCACTTCAAAAAAATGGGAGCCTCAGCACCAGCTTCCTTGAAGTATTGTTGAACAGTAGTTCTGCAAAGCGGTTCAAATGGTCGAAGTTGCAAGTGGCAGTCATTTATGAAATTGAATCGTAGTAGTACTGTGAAATCCCGATCCAGTGAAGGGAATGAGCAAGTGTCGTGTAACATTATTGCGTTTGCATTTTCTTGATGAATATGTAAATCCATTATTTATATTCCATAAAAGCAGTGTAAAAGTAACAAGGCCTGTTGCTGAGATACTCGGTTTATACTTAAGGAAAAAAAACATACATGGCACGGAGAGTACATCAACATAGCGAGGAAACGAACTGACAGACATGGGTGCCAGTTCGTTTCTTCACTTCGTCCCCGTACTATGTGCACTGTGTCTGTTCTTTCGTTAAAAGTGGTAACTTTTGTTATTCGCATTGTTGTTCACATAGTGACTATGGCAGAAGACCCCTGGGTCTGAAGCTGAAACATCCTCTTAACCTCTCCATAGCTCACTGCCACCACTGTCACTGAGCGCTCCTTATGAGGAACTTTCTTGCCAAGAGAAATGGCCGTCAATTAACTGTTCATTCGTGTATCATAATGTAGCAAACGAGTGTTATGCCAGCATGCTGACCACAACTAAAGCTCTTCATTTTCAAGTGCTTCCAACACATTTGAGTTTTGTGATATTGCATGCACAGCACTTGAAGTTGAAATGAAGCTACTGAGTGCCGCATGCGTGTTGGATGGAGCAGTGGTTGCTAAAGACATGATTGTAGTTACGTGCATTTCTGAAGGCACGTGCGTTGCTATCTACAAGAGTTGCAATGGCTGAGCGCTGCATCTGCTGTTGAATGAACATGGCTCGCTAATGCAGTCACGAAAGGTGACCATGCTCTTTTGAAGGCCTGTGCCCTTTTCGATTGATCTCAAAAGCAGTTTTCGCTCTTGCGCATCGGGCATTTGCAATTCTTTGTGCTTGTCGCTCTCCGAGGATCATCTAAATTAATGAGGTTGCAGTCAAGTATGACTGAAGTAACAAGAATTTGATGCCATTATACAACACATATGCTTGCAGGGCCAGGAAAGTGTTCGATTTATGCAATTTTATTAATTAATGGAGGTTGAAGTAATGTGCTTTTGCCTTATTGTGAAAATTTTCGGATTTGCTGCGGTCTACAGGCAACTGTGGTGCCCGACGCAACTTGACACCCAAAGTTTCATTACATCATAGGTGACTCCAGAGTTAACAGAAATTCATGCTACTAGCACAGTGAATTCCTGACAAGTGTGTCTCAAAAACCAAACTGAAGCTGCGCAGGAGTGCTCTGTCGTGACGTCATCAAATTTTTCTTTTGTTTTGTCAGAGCATTTGACGGCATGCCTACGCGCATTTCGCCCATCTTCTCAATCGCTTGCGTCAGGATAATCCCTCTTGTTAACAGATTTCAGTTTCTGTCAACAATTATGCGTGTGTCCAGCAACAGCACATAGCCACACTTCTTACGATGCGTTGCTAAAGAATTGCCTCATGGGTATTGTTGTAATGCTAACAATGCAGAAAACACGGTGCTCCCTCAAGTGTGCTGACCTTGCTAGTTCTCTTCTTTTTATTGCGCAGAGGGGCTCGCTGTGGGCGTGGGCTTCGGTGCGGCCGGGAGCTCGGAGCATTCCACGTTTGAAAGTGCCAGGTCAGTTGCCATGGTTCTGTGAAGCGTGGCTAAGTTGCTAATTGTTTGGACTTTGGTCGCTGGTACTTTGGTGTTGCTTTTTTGAGAAGTGATATGTAGCGGGCGCAAATATTTCCACGCTCATTTTTCATTTTGCTTAGATGTGTTAGGTTGCACCAATAAAGACTGTTAGTAGCTCTCGGCGCCGCACGTGCTGCAGTGCTTTTCAAGCTTCAAGATTGTTTGAGGAGTACCAGCACGATTTTCAGACATTGTAAAAGGGACGTTTTTCATTTCCTTAGAAAGCAGTGTTAGCACTCCTGACACGCCGGAGTCAGACAATGCATAGAAAATATTTTTTAGCTTTGATAATAAAGTTTTCGTCACTGAGCATCAGCAAGCCAGCCCCATCGTAATAGGCTTTATTCTGATGAGTCGGCACAGTTTCAATAAGTTTGTGAACTCTGCGTCCTTCACACTTCCTAAATCGCATAAATTGCTGTCGGAATCACTCTATGATAATTCAACTCATCGTTGTTTACATGCACCACGAGTACGTGACAGCTCTGCTGCTGGCGTGTCACTGTTTGCTGTCCCTTTGTGATCTCACAGTGCAATGACTTATAATTAAGATGTTGCTCTCTCAATTATCAAAAACGAAAGTGTTTTTTTGAGGTAGTGGTGTTAAGGGTATGCAGTCGAGCCCACTTATAATGAACCTGAGTGTGACGCGGCATTCGTTCACTGTATCCCAAAGCTCGTAGCAAATGAAACACAGCTTTAAACAATGTTACGAGTGAAAACACAAATTTTTTCCCCAAAGAGTATGTGATGTGTTTCGAAGAGCAGGAGCGATAAAGGCAGTCTTGAATTTATTGAAAGCGGCAGCATAAAGAACTCGGCCATAATGAAATCATCCCAGTAGATGTCCCGCACATTCTCCCATGTCGGATTCGATGACGCACTGCCACAAATTGCCGCCAGAGTGATCCCTTTTGGAAGCTTCAGGCTTGGCATCGGGTCCTACGTCGATGAAGTCAGCCTCCCCAAAACAGCTTCGCACACATGTAGCCGTCACCGCTGCCCAAGAAGCCTTCACCCTCTCCACAGCAGAATACAGGGACACCCGAAGCGGCAGGTCAGCTGCTGGGTAGTCAACAGATATGAGCATGCGCTCTACAAAATGTCGCACCCATAATAGGTCCTAAACGCACAGATTACGGCCAACATAGATCGTCACACTTTTGACGTTTTGTTGAGCAGCAGGAAAAAGTGCGGGATACCTCTCCTCCGCCATCCTGACCACACACGCACACCAACGTGAGCAAGACGCGCATGCACGACATGGAAGTCAGCACGTTTGAACTTACTCTGGGCCCATTTCTAGTCCGAAAACGGTACTTCTGAATTCAGCCAGCATGGCTCGTGGCATTGCGGAGCAGCGGTGACGGGCGGAAGAGTTGTGATAAAAAGAGGAGGAAAGACTTGCGAGAGACATGCAAAGGAGTTGCAGTAGAGTGAAGAGAGGAAAGCGTACGGCGGAAAAGCGATGACGTTGAAAACCAAAACATGCGGGAAGAAACGGGTAGTTTGCCTGCAAGGTCCACGAAACGCAGAACTCGCGCATAGGGAAACTTGGGAGAGTGGTCTGCACGCGAAAATATCAAAGAATCGCATTGTGGTGCCGGCCAAGTTGCGCGGCCCCGCGGACTTCCATAATTTGCGATTAGCTCAGTGTAAAAGCAGTTTTTACACTTCCGAACGCGTGTGAAGGGCATGCTGAGCCATGTGAGAAGTGAGCGAGAACTGATTCTAAATACGGAACGAATCGTGGTTTATCGATGTCGGTGTGGTAATGCAACTGGAACGATATGACACCGATGCAGACAACACACAGACGCAAACGATTGGGTACAGTCGATGGCCGACGATGTTGGCAAATGGTCTGTTCACTCCAGGCCGACAATGCCAACGATAGTGTAACAAAACCAGGGATCAAAAAATGAGGGGAGAATACTTGCTAACCTGTTCTGGAAAGATGGGTGGCAGTGTAAAAACACGGACCTCGTCTGGCGATGTTGCGTGCTCAGAGTAGCAGGGGACACAGGATGGAGGGGGTGCGTAACTATAAACGATCGAGGAAAGCGACAACTTGAGGACTGCGGAGGCAGGGTCGGCATTCACCTACAGTTAAAGCTCGTTACATTCGAGCCCACATATAACGGCCCCACTTAAAACGAGCTTTCGCTTAAAACGAACAATATCCTCATGACCATGAAAATATACATTGGTTCAATGGCACAAAATTGCAGTTACAACGAACGTCTCTGAGCGCCGCTGATTGGATACTGCGAACGGAGCCGGCGCTCTGCTGACTTCCCGAAAAACCTCTTTCAGCCACCGATCAGGCATCGGCGAAGGGCCCATACACTCTTATTGTTAAACACCGACCCTGCCTCTGCGTCCCTCTAGTTGCCGCTCTCCCCGACCGCTTTTTGTTGAAAAAGGACGCACCCTTCCGTCCTTTTTCCCCCACGCTACTCTGACTACCCCGCATCGCCAGACGAAGCCCATTTTTTCACATTGTAACCGATCTTTCGAAGACCGATTGGCCATCTACCTTGTTTCTCATCGCTGGTACTGTGGTTGGCGTCACCGGCCTGGAGTGACCAGACCATTTGCCAACATCGTCGGCCACCGACTGTATCTGATCGTCTGCGTCTAGTGTACATGCGTACGGTACCCCACCAACTCTGATAATTTGCGATTCGTTTCGTGTTTAGGACCTGTTCTCGCTCACTTCACACTCGGCTCAGCATGCCCTCCGCACGCGTGCAGAAGCGCGAAAATGGCTGTTAATTTGTGCGGAATGAATTACGAAATATCAAAGTTGCTGAGGCCACGGATACCCGCCAGCGCAACAAAACGATTTTTAACCACGGCCGCCGATTCGTTGAACACCGCCGCACACATTGATCCAGGTGGCCGTGCTTTGACTTCTGCGGGCACAGGCACTCTTTCAAGTTTTTCTACGTGTGAATTGTGCGTTTCGCGGACCTTTCAAGCAAGCTACCAAACCTGCCTCCTTCCAGTGTGTTTTGATTTTCAAGGTCGCTCTCCTGCCGCATTATCCCCTCTCTTCACTCTATCGCAACTCCTTGCCCTTCTTCTTCGCAAGTCTGCTCTCCTATCTTGATCACTAAGCCTTCGTCCATCTCCACCGCTGGCTCGAATTAGTTTCATTTTCTGACTAGAAACGGGCCCAGAGCTGTTCCACTGCGTTCTGGTATGTGTGTCGTGTGTGCGCGTCTTGCTCGCTCTTGGTGTGCATGTTGTGGTCTGGATTGCAGACGGGAGGACTTGCACGTTTTTGTCCTGCTGCTCAACAAAATGTCGAAAGTGTGACCACTTGGTTTGAGCATAATCCGTGGGTTAGGTGCCGCATTGCGGAACGCTTGCCTGTAGCTGTTGACCACCTGGCAGCCAACTTGCCGCTTCGGGAATCCTTGTATTCAGCTGTGGAGATGGTGAATATTTCGTGGGCGGCAGTGATGGCTACATGCGGGCGAAACTGTTTTTGCAAGGCTGGCTTCTTCGACGTCTGGCCCAATGTCGAGCCTGAAGCTTCTGAACAGGATCACTCCAGCAGCGATTTGTAGCAGTGCGTCGTCGACTCCGACATGAGAGAGCGGGTGGGACATCTGTTGCGATGAATTCATTACGGCTGATGATGATGCCGACACTAGAGAACTGTGCACGGATTAGGGCATTGTGAATGAAGTACATGGCGAGAGCGATTTGGAAGAATCTGATTGCGACAACGACAAAACTTTGGAGCCAGTGCTTCATGCAGCTTATGCCACGGGCCTCGGTGAAGGAGCACCCTGCCGTTTTGAATGAACTCGAGACCACCCTTATCGCTTCTGCTCTTCTAAACATGTGCATCACAAACTTTTTTGGGCAAAAATGTTTGTGTTTTCACTCCCAACTTTTTGAAAAGCTGTGTTTCATTTACTACGAACCTCGGGATACAGCGAACGGATGCCGCGTCAGGCTCAGGTTCGTTATAAGTGGGCTCAACTGTATAACAAAATTGGAGGGCTGCCGCAATGTGCTCGTTATAACCAATATTTTGTTATAGCCCCAGGGGGCATTTACTGCAAATAATATGCACTGTAGTTCCCCGAAACAAATAACGGAGCGAAATAGCATCTCGCCTCACGGTGGTATGCAACAAAATAACCGTATTCCGCAAATAAAAAGGAAGTCTCACGCACTTCTTTTATTGCACTTCAAACAGACTTAGCTGCAAAGAAGTCTGTAATCGGACGCTGGTGTATCTTCCTAATGCAAATGATGGCTCTCTCAGCTGCAGTCGTAATGTTTAAGCCATCTTCTCCGCCCTCAGGAGCTCCGAAGTAGCAATGCAGTACATCCACCTGCTTCTAATTCCTCCTATGTCTGGCATGTTGGTCTCCTTCACGGTGGCCTCCAGTTAATCGACAGAGCCATCGTCGCTGGTGTCATCCAGATCATTGACAGCGTGCAAAAGGTTGTCATCTAGGAGCTGTTCTGTTGCTACAACTTTCGAGTGTACACTCACATACTCGCAGAACGACTTGTTGGGCACGACACCGGCTTCATGAAGTGCCGTCCATGACGCTGAGACACTTCGTCCGATGTGGCCAAACCGTCCGGCACAGCGGGCTCGTCTAATGAAGACTCATCGCTGGCGTCTGGTGTGACGGCAAATGAAGTGTGTCGAAAGTAATTTGCAATCGTGGTCACCGTCACAATCATTCATGCCGCTCGAAGCATTTTGAGAGCAGCGTACAAGTCAACATTGGTGTCCTGCTTCCACTTCATGTTGAGCCTGTCAATCACGCACTTGCGGTAACCTGCCTTCAGCGACATAATCAGGCCTTGGTCAAGCAGCTGCAATTTTGCTGTGCAGATGGCAGGGAGGAACAGCAGCTCGATGTTATGAAGCGCGGAAGCGGTGTGGTGGGTGGTGCAGTCATCTAAAACAAGGCACACCTTGCGGTTCGTCTTTGCCAGCTTTTCGTCCCATTCCAAAAGCCATTTTGCAATAATCTCCCTGGTTATTCAGGCTTTGCGATTGGCCGTGTACTTGACTGGGAGCTGCTTCTTGCCCTTCAAGCAGCGCGGGGATGTACTTTTGCTAATTACGAAAATTGGCAGCTTCTCAGAACCAGTCATGTTGGCACAAAGTAGGGCAATGATCCGCAGCTTACTTTGTTTGCTGCCATGCACGGCTCACTTTTGAGGGCTAGTATGGCAGTATCTTGAAAAAGAGAGTGGTTTCGTCCGCATTAAAGATGTCCTCCTCTACTCTATTTTTTAGCAGCCGCGCGATGTTATCCTATGCCTACTTCGTAGCCTCTGCTTCGTCGACAGATTGTGATTTGCCGCAGACCACTTTCCTGACGATGTCGTGGGGCTCCTTGAAACGTTGGAGCCAACCCGAACTTGCAACAAAGTTGTTATAGCCCATAATGCAGGTGAAGTCCCTTGCTTTTGTTTGTAGCATGGCACCGCTCACCGGCAGATTCACAGACCGCGTGTGCAAAAACCACTTAAAAATGGCCCTTTCGACCGGCATCAAAGGCAGCAGTCCTCATCCTCATTACGTTTCCTTTCACGCTTCGTGCAACAGCGTCGATGATAGACTCCTACTTGCTCAAGATCGTGGACAGTGTACCCGTTGACACGTCAAAGTCTCTTGCCACTTTGCTTTTCTTTGTTCCCGCTTTAATGGCTTTTATCACTGCCACGTTCTGATCTAGCGTTATGTGCTTTCGCTTCCCGCCTGGTGCATTCATGTTGTTGGAATCACGAGCACAGCACGATAAAAATAGGGCAGAAGCATTAAAAAAAAAAAAAAAAACGCGGCTAACATCGGCGAGTGACAACACTTGCAGTGGTTGCAGGCAGGCGCACCGCAGCCATGCTTACTGAGGGGAAGTGGGGAAGCTGTGAGTGGACTCAGTGGGCGCAGAGAGAGAGAAAAAGAGAGGTTAGAGTTGAAAGAATGCTCTTCACTGCAGCCTGTTAGGAGGCACGACTCAGCAGCCGTGAAGAAGCGAAGAGGAAGAATATAAAGAAGACACAAAAGAAACTGAAAGGGCGAAACGTTCGCGGAGTTGTGGACTCCTCGGCTGTCGGTGGTAGCCAAGCGGCGCACGTGCAATGCCCTGTGCAACACCCTCTCCTCCAGAAACAGCATGCGCTTGGCGCGCCTCATCTTTGCGTGCGTTGCTGAAGGATATATGGCGGGAGTGTTGAACTGCTGCAGTTGTCGCGTTGCGCAACATCTCAAATTCGTATTGTGCACTGATGTGACGTCGGCTCCAAATTTTATTTCGTAACAACATTTGTTCGTTAAGTCATAACCGACAAATTTTACCTCGTTAAAACGAAGTTTTGAATACATTGGTTTCTATGGAGACTTTCAAGGGGATTAACGATTTGCTTGTTATATCCAATATTTTGTTATAACTCATCTCGTTATAACGAGGTTTAACTGTATAAGAACCTATGAGCACCTCAGCTATGGCTTATCAGTGGTTTTATGGGGGGATGCGGCCTTTGAAAATGGAAAATTGCAAAAAGTCGATTTTTGGGAAACCAGATATTCGGGCAGTACGTGTTATAAACTACCTTTTCTGTAAATATCAACGTTTAACTCATCGCAAAACTGTTTGAAATAAAGTTTACAACATGCCGCTGCAGCCCTCGAACGACAAGGGAGTGCTCGAAATAGCCCAACTTGGCACAGGACTTTCTCAGCTGCTTGACGGAGCTCCCCCATTTTGGTGTTGTTTTGTTTGTAAGTTCTCGCACTTTTTTTTCCTGCCACCCGCGGCGATGGCAGCAGCGCAGGAGAGGAGCAAGCTGCTCATGATTGGGGGGCCCACGAGAGCTTTAAAGTTTCCCGCGGCAAAGACGCCCCGCCGGGATTGGGCGATGCGCGCGCTTCTCAAGGACGAGAGGGACCCTGCAACTGCGATTTACTGCTGCGCGCGATGACGTAGTACCCTTGCACATAATGCGGCTCTCCGTCACCTGCTGCTCCTCCGTCCCCGACGTTTTCTTAGTGTTCCGTTTGCTATCGTCTATCGTTGCAACCGTTCACATACTCTTTGCGTTTCAGCTGTTCTTACGAAACAATCTTCAAATGTCTTCACGACACGATTTTCAGTTGTCTTTACGAGACCGTTGCATTCACTCGCTATGCATCCAAGGAAAAGAAAAACGCAACAATTGTTCGGTGCAAAGAAGATATCTATGAAGGTTGTCCGCATGGCAAGGCTCTCCACTCACACGTGCGCCGACAGTGATCACGCCAACAGTACATGTGGAGTAGCTTCTTCATCTACGCAAGAGTGTGGTTGCACGATGTGCCTAGACACGGGAATCCTGCTCCACCGGTGCAAAAATTTGACGTTGCAAGTGCACCTGGTGTCTCGTGCTCATTGGCAGGGGCTTCCACATCCTCTCTTTTGTAGGCTTCAAAGAGTGCGATTGAATCGTCAACTGTGCAATGGTGAACACGTTTTTTGAGGTGTGAAGAGAAAGAAGCAGCGGATCAACAACGCGCTGCTGTTAAAAGAGAACTCGATGCTGTGCCAGCAACCGAGCAGAAATTTCAGGCAATGGAGCGCGATCAATGAGCGCGACCTGGCCATTCAACGAACAGCTGAGAAAGATTCACTGCGCTTGAAAAATGCTAAGAAGAGATCCTTGGAGAAGACGGAAAGGCGGTGAAGAAAGAGAGTGCCAAAGGACACCTCCAGCTATGCTGCAGGGTTGTTTCAGATTTGCATATGTGCCCAAAACTTTCAAATGTCATTTTCTCAAAATGACTTTTTTGGATAGTGAGGCCACTTGTTCCAGGCATATCTGAGGAAGCACTCATCCTACTTTCATAAGTCTTTTTTTTATGATGTACGTGAATAAATTTCTGAGGGGGAAACAAACCCATTTGTTCAATATATTGGCCTGTTATTTATGATGCCTAATCAAAACTTGATTTATAATATCCCAATCATGAACACTAAATTTGATGGTCTGCTAAAGCTTTTCAGTAAGGAAATTAAAAAAGGAGAGCTCTGTTGCCCCTTGAGATGTCAATCTGAGGATAATCATTTTTGATTTTACAGTTACAGCATCTTTCGAAAGTTCTTCAGGCCTGAAATAAGAGAAAAATGTGCACTATTCTGACATACTGCAGTAACTGGAGAACTAAAGAGCGTAACATCATGAAATTTTGTAGTAGTTCTAATGCTTTTGCTATTAGTTTATCCTAAAAATTTAATTGAGATTTCTCAATAAACAAAATGTTGGTATCTGATGGTAGCCTCAGTTCCCGTGATGTGGTCCTAACGCTGCAGCCCCTTGGCGATGCTCATTTTGTTTCATTCACTGCAAAGTTCTGCCCGGCTTGAAGGTTGGACGATAAATCCACGACTAGGACAACTTCCTTTTTATAAGTGGCACTATAATGACACTGCATGTTTGGCGCCATTGAGCTACGCCACACATAGACCACTCAAAGTGCGACTCAAAATGACAAACGGCTCGCCTCAACACTCGCCACAAGGATAAAAATGGCGGCCTCATGTTTGTGCTTAAGCCAGGTATTGGCTTGGCTACTAACAGCTACAGTACAGTCTACTCGGTGTTAGTTGTGTGCAACCTTCTTGAATAAAAAATGGTGCGTTTTTTGAAATCATCAAATCTAAGCCGAGTCTAGAGTTTGATACAAAGAAATTTGAAAAAAGAAAAAAGAACTGTTGGCCAGATTTGAATAAGTATGGTACTTGTAGTTTTTTTATGCCTTGCTATCACCATCGGTGCCTTGTTGCTTGAATAAAACTCCAACACATTTTGCACGTTTTGCAAAACAGGAACCTGGCTCTTGGCATAGGCATTCAGAACTTCCCTGAGGGACTGGCGGTAAGCTTGCCACTCCGTGGCGCCGGCTTCTCCAAGTGGAAGTCATTTTGGTGAGTTCTCTTTCCTTCTTTTTTAACACTTGGGTATACTTAAACGTAGGGCATCATTAAAGAACCCCACATGGTCAGAGTGTGATGTTCCTCATGATGGTGGGTTTAATAATATCATTATACGATATGACTAGGCATTCATATGAATGCAGTATATTTGTTCTGCTATGTTCCACTGCTTCACCATGTTCTTTACAGCGAAAGCTGTGATGTGATTATAATAAGAGCTGGTTTTGGTGCTGTAGTTCTCCGCCGCCACCAGGGTCTGTAACCACAGCCTCCTAAAATATGAAAAACTGAATAAATAAAAAATACCGATAACAGATTTTAAACCAGAGTCATCTGCGTGGAAGGCCAGTATTCTGCCTCCGAGTTATGCCGGTGCTTGAAGCTCTGTTCAAAACTGACCCGTGGCAAGCTTCATGTACGATATGGGATGGAGTTAATATGTGTAATGAAGCATGTGGAAGAGCATAGTAACAGCCAGCCATTACTCAATGCAAATTACGTAACGAGTGAGTGTTCGAATGCTGCAATACATTACAAAAGCCTTGAGCATGATTCTTCGTCGTCGTAGCCACTATGCACTTAATAGTAATTACACTCAAACCTTGTTATAAGGTAACAGGATATAACGAAATAATGGATGTAATGAAGTAAATGAACTTCCCCTTGAAAGCTCCATTGAGAACCATGAATTTTAAACCTCGTTGTAACGAAGTAATATTGACCGGTAAATGAATATAAAGAACTAAATTAGTCTATCAAATAGTCTATCAAAAAAAAAAAAACGACCGTAGTGTGTTGAGTGTATTGTTTTCTGCGGAGTTTGACGCTCGTTCGGCACGGCTCTTTCAAAACTATCGCGCCATCCTTACAGCCACGTCACACGCGGCAGAGAGAGCCGTTCTCCTCACACAGCCAGCGGAGAGGACTGAGGAAGCTCTCAGCGGGTCACATGACCGAGAGGCGGCGCCGTGGTGCAAAGCGATTTCCCTCTCCGCGCCTTAAAGACGACGGCGACGACTGCGTCTCCGCTGCTACCCTCTGCACTAGGCACTGTTCTGTGCTCTCCACCGGGCTGAACAAATTAGGTGCCTTCTTCATCTTCTAACCACTACCACCACCACCCTCTGCACCGAGAAAGGAGGACTCTTCGCAACAGCTTCTTTTTTTTCTCTCTCTCTTTCTTCGTGCGGACTTGAAAGGAGAAGGGTCTCTACGTGCAGAGACGGAAAAGGGAGAAGCGTGGCACAGGTGCGATGCAGATCGGCATTTGAGAGAGAGCAAACAATCTGCCACAGTTTTTTCTTTCCTTTTCTTATTTTCCTTCTTCGCATGCAGCGTTGAGAGATGCCGTCGCGGGATTGGGCATGGTGCTTAGAGCATTTTCAGAGCGCGATATGTTTGAATTACCGTATTTACTCGATTCTACCGCGCCCTCGATTGTAACGTGCACCCGATTTCCACCGCGAAAAAAAAAAAAAAAAACAAAAGACATCGATTGCAACGCGCACCCATTTTTCTCCCTGGCCCGCACGATCACACCACTCGAAAAAACGACTGCTTTCGTGAGCGTCTGCCATTTAAATATGAGGTACGGGCGAAGCTTGTGCTCATCTGACATGTAACAGAGCATTGCCGTCACTGTAGTTTTACCGTGGACCGATGTCAGCACATGAACTTGCTTCGCCCCCTTCTTCTCGACGGTTGTGGTGCCAGGCATGTCGAAGTAAAGAGGTGTCTGATCGGCATTCCCGATTTGCCCAAGCAGGTAGAAGTTTAGGACGAACCTCTGAAAACTGTGAAGCTTTTCATCGTATTCTTCCGCAAAACTTTTCGCATATGCATGTTCCCCTTCGGACGGAAAAGCCTTTCCTCTTCATAAAGTTAGTTAGCCAGCACCTGCTCGCTTTAAACTGGCTCCACATTAGACCTTTTTCTAAGACTAATTGCATAGCCCGCACTTGGAGCAGTTCTGTCGTGACGGGCCGCTGTGCCGCTCGCTGCTCAAGCACATACTCGCCGAGCAGCTCTTTAATTTGCAGAAACCGGCCCTGCTGTGGTCCACTGAAGCCTTTGCGTGAAGCTTTGCTGTCGGCAATCTTTTGCTTTTGTTTCCGCCGGTCCCGCACGAACGTTTCGGGAACTCCGAACAACCGCGATGCGGCCCGATTTCCGTCCGTTTCTGCACACGCGATGACTTTTCTTTTAAAAGCGGCATCGTGGTGCACTCGAGTTTTCGGAGTCAGCCCTTTCACGCTGTCGATGCTAATGCACTACTAGATGACGAACTCCTCAGCACACGTACGAAGTGCCGCACATGGGAAACACATAGGCAGAAATGGCCGACGCGCCATGCCGACGCACGTAGGGGGCGGCCATTTTGGATTTGCCGATGGCAATAGATTGACCGTAATTTTTTTTTCGTACTCGATTCTAACGCGCATGCGATTTATTAACTCGCTTAACCGGAAAAAAGGTGCGCGTTAGATTCGAGTAATTACGGTAATTGTCACAAATGTTTGTGCGTTTGAATCACCGGGCATTTTTGCCCATTAAAATACTCATAGCTTTGACGGAACCTCAGTGTGAGTCCGAATTAACTGGAAGTACGAATTAAGCATGTTCGAAATAATGAGGTTCGACTGTGTTTATTTTCCATCGCACGCGTGGTCGCGTAGCGGTACATCAGGCCGCGAGGTGGTTTCCTTCTTTGCATGCTTATATATTTGTGCCCATGCTAAGCATACATTGGCACAAACTGTTATAACGATATAACGAAATAATGGATATAACAAAATAATTGTGGCTCCTCTTCAACTTGGTTATAATGATATTTGAGTGTAGTGTGTAGCAATTGCGTCCCGGGAGTAATGTAAACATGTTGCTATGTGACGGCAACAACCAAAAAAGAAAGTTCCGCACTCGTCGTAACGGCACCAGGTGGCGCTGAACTCATGCTCCTCTGTTTAAGGGCACATATGTACCCTATAAAGTGGACAGAGGGATGACTGCCACCATAGCTCAGTGTTTGAGCATCGGACACATTATTTACAGGTCGCAGGTTCAGTCTCTCCTGGTGCCTAGTTATCTTTTCATCCACATTTTTTATCTCGCCTATACATTACAACTACTTCTAATAGCATCATAGCATCTCCTACATCTTTTTTGGTATCACCGTCTGTTATTCGTATTAATATGGTATTTAGTCCACTATTGGTCTTAAGGGAAGTCAATTCTCTGCTTTTTGGACACAACAGGACATGGCGGTACACGGCTGCTAAACCAGTCTTGGAAAAATACTTTCTGCAGGGAAGCTTATGCAACAGTTTTGCAGTGTGATGTGGCGGAAATGTGTCAGTAACAATCTCTTTGTTTGGTTCGCGAAGATGGATGCTAATTCTTTTCTTGACATTTTTATAGTCACTACAGTAAAATCTCGATTATACAAATTTCGTATCATCCGGAATTTGTATGAACCAAACACGATTCAATGCTGTTGTTGAAGACGTACAAGAACTATGATGCTCTTTTGTCTATGATGCTCTCTTGAACTTTCCCGCCTTCATCGTCTCTCAATAAAGGGTCGCGGTTTCCTCACTCATGATACTGGCGCTGCGTGTTCACACTTGACATGAAAGGGAGCGAAAGTGGCCAAACTCATTGAAAATTTTCTCTCATTGCCGCTTAAGCAGCCAGAAAACTGCGCCATGAAGTGGACACAAAAAAAGCCAGTCCTGGAAAATTCACACTAGAAAATTCAAGTGAAAACGCCAGAGTAGCCGGAAAATCATGTGCTCGTCCACGCCCGTCGAAAATGTTCACATTCGTTCTGCCCCTCATACATCCCAGTCTCCATCGTCGCTTGAAAATTCATTCCGTTTTGCTCGTACCCTGAGCATTAAAGTTTGTACCGAAATCTAGTTATGCATGCAAAGCACAAAAAAAAAAAACTGTTTACACCTTTAGAAATTTTGTTTTCGAAGATAGGCCAGCAGAAACGACACAAGTGGACGCAGTGGCTGCCACTGATTCAGCTGGCAGTGCAAAAGCGAGACATGTTTGGGCATGCGGTCTCATTGCTGCTGCACCTTCTTCTACTTCTGGTAGTCTCAGCGATCGTAACTCAAACCAGGCTCTCGATGAACACGTCCTTGTCAAGGCTGTGAGCTTTGACGTGCTTCACTGGGAGTTACCGATAGCGCCAAAGCTGATCCACCGCCAACGCCTTTGCTGTCATGTTGAATTAGTGGCTGGTTGTTTACATCACGTGGTTCGAGAGCTGGAGCAGCCGTTATAGCCAATGCCGTGAAGCAAAAAGGCGATCTGCTATTGGCAGTGGGAAAATCGCTATGGGACCGTTTGTTTTCTCGTCGGCCTTGCAGCAATGTTTTTGCAGCCACTAAAACGAGAAAAATTTCGGTGAGTTCGGCCGTATTCACTTCCTTCGAGGCCAAGAGTGAAGAAGCTTTCCTCCCACATACGAGCCGTGTTGCGCCATTGGCGTTCACCGGTCAATCGCACATTCGTATCATCCGCAGTGGCTGGAGAAGCCGTTCGTATAACACTGAAGCACGGCGAAAGTTATATAATGTAGTCCATCCAAAACAACCTTAATATTTGTATTATTTCAAAATTCGCATCAACCATAATCGTATCATCGAGACTCTACTCTACCATGTTTGGCAATACCCATTCGATGCATCAGCCTTTTGTATGAGGGATCGAATCCTGGCTGCAGGGGCTGCATTTTTGAGGAAAGCAAAAAGGCTGTAGGCCCGTGTGCTCAGGTTCTGGTGTCCGTTATCAATTAATCAACATTTTCTATGACATCATCAAGCCCAAGACACTGCAGCTCTTTGGGCCCTGTGTCTGGCACTGAAAAGGGCAAGTGGTGTAACTTACCAGCGACGCGTGTGATCCCTTCTCTTATTTGACCTTATGAATGAAATTCGCTGCCAGTGCTAACTTTCCATGGAACAAGTGCAAACATTGGTAATACAATTCAGAATCATAGCACTTCAAGCTCGAATATGTGATGGCTGACAGAATCGAGGCAGCTGAGCCCGTGTCTATGAGAAAACGTGCGGGATACACCTTGCACAAAGATGTTCGTATTTATTCCCACTTCTTTCCGGTGGTCGGAAAGCAACACGCATGGGTTTCCGGGTGTACTGCAGGCATGCACTCTTCACACACCAAGTGCCTGCTCGTCTCGCGTGCCCCTTCAACACGCTTAATATGACCTCGTTTGCCGCATTTGCTGCGTGTTTTATCCCACGCCTACGTAAGCACTTGTAGGCGTGGGATTAATGCAGACGCCTTCAAAAGCTATGACCTTCAGGGTGATTTCTGCAGGAAGTTTAATCCTTTCAGACTCTACATACACAATTTTGTGCGCCACTCGTTTTTGCTGTTTGCGCCAAGTAGAGGATGGGAAAGAGTAAGATATATCGTACTGTGGGTGAATTGAACCTCCTTAATAATTTATTTTTCTTCATTTAACATAATTTTGCAGTGTACTGTTGCATACGATCATTTTTCTGAAAGCGCTACCACGTGTGACTAGTCGTGTGACGTGCCGCTTCCTGCGAGCCATATGAAAAGCAGAATTTTTCTTTGCCTAATATGGACATAACGAAAAATCAATTGTCACTATATTCCTACCCTGAGATTTCATTCTGTTTGTGCCGAAAGGTATGTGTCAATTCCCTTAAAGGTAAAGATATTTTAATTACAAGCTAATTAGTATGAGCTACTATCACACACATACCATCATCTCATTATTCTTGTTTCAATAGAATATTGAGCGCCCTTAAGTAATGTTGCAGTTATTGACACATTTACAGACAGTTCTTCATAGGTGGCGTGTGAAAGGGTCAAGGTGGCATTGCCACTTGCATTTTAGTGTTTCGTGTTTTGTCGCTTACCAAGCATCTCATCGTGGCAAGCGTGGTGATTTTGGCATTGCGAAAGAGCAACTTACTGATACGAATGAAATGTTTTTTTTTTTTAACTTTGTTCTAACGCAGGTATGGTCAGCTTAGCGGAGTCGTGGAACCCGCGGCCGGCGTCTTGGGCTGCCTGGCGGTGACCATGGCCCAGCCGCTGCTGCCTTATGCCCTTGCCTTTGCAGCTGGGGCGATGGTTTACGTTGTCGTCGATGACATCATACCCGAGGCACAGGCTTGGTAAGAGAGCCTAGCGTCTGTATCGGTAACCATTTGCAAATGACCATCTTCTGTAAACAAGCAAGACTTCGAAGATGAGATTGTTGGACAAGTTGGTATTCTATTACCAAGGAAACTGTGCAAAAAAGATGCACAAGAGAAAAGAACAGGGAAAATGCTTGTGCTGATATTTCCTCTCATCATCCACATTTTTTCGCACAGTTTTCTTAGTGATGATATTAGAAAAACATAGTGATGATACCAGAAAAACATAGAATCGAAGTTGGCGGTCGCGTCTGCACAGTTGCTGCCATGTTGGCTTCTGAAAACTGGTGCTTACAGCCACGGCCGCTTTACTGACCCAATGTGTTCACTTGATTGATTGATTTGTGGGGTTTAACGTCCCAAAACCATGATATGATTATGAGAGACGCCGTCGTGATGGGCTCCGGAAATTTTGATCACCTGGGGTTCTTTAATGTGCACCCAAATCTGAGCACACGGGCCTACAACCTTTTCGCCTCCATCGGAAATGCAGCCGCCGCAGCCAGGATTCGAACCCGCGACCTGCTGGTCAGCAGCCGAGTACCTTAGCCACTAGACCACCGCCGCAGGGCCCAATGTGTTTACTTGGGCAGCTGGCTGGGAGAAGGCCAGTTTACGGTCCATGGTAGCATGCAGGCGCAGCTGCTTAGAATCGTCTATAACGGCCCCACTTTGAATGAACTTTTGCTTAAAATGAATGATACCGGTATGATGGTGAAAATATACATTTTATCAATGGCATGAAATCACACTTAAAACGAACGTCTCTGAGCGTTGCTGATCGGTTACAGCGGACGGAGTCGGTGCTCCGGCAACTTCCCGGGACACCACTTGAGACCACCGATAAGCCATCGGCGATGTGTGCATACATTCTTATTGTTAAACACCGAGCCTGTGTCGGCATCCCTCTAGTTGTCGCTGTTCCCGACCGTTTTTGTTACACACCCTCTCCGTCCTGTGTCTCCCCCCTCCCCCCTCCCCGCTTCTCTGAGCACCCCGCATCGCCCGACGATGCATGTGTTTTCACGCTGATCTTTCAAAAACTGGTTGGCCAACTAGTCTATTCTAAGTATTTCACACTGGTTGTGTCCCACTATCGTAGGCATCACAGGCCTGCTGGAGTGACCAGACCTTTTGCCAACACGATCGGTCATAGACTGTACCCGATCGTCTGTGTCTTGTAGGGATCAATGTAGTACCGGTCCAGTGCACGCACTTGCACTACCCACCAGCTTCGATAATTTTTCGATAAGTTGCGATTCGTTCTGTGTTTAGAACCTTTTCTCGCTCACTTTGTACTCAGCTCCCCATCCCCTCCACACGCTTTCGGAAACTTAAAAATGGCTAGTACATGGAATGAATTGCGCATTATCAAAGTTGCAGGGCTGAGCAAGTCCGCTGGTGCCACAATGCGATTCTTTGACTCTTGCGCGCGCAGACCGCTGTCCCAAGTTTTTCTAGGCATGAGCTGTGCGTTTCATGGACCCTGCAAGCAAGCTACCCGACCTGCCTTCTGTCGGCGTTTTTTGGTTTTGAAGGTCGCTTTCACTCTATGGCGACTCCTTTGCATCTCTCTCGCATCTGCTCTCCTCTCCTTATTGCAACTTCTCCGCCCATCTCCACCACTTCGCAACGCCAGTCACACTGGCTCGAATTCATAAGTTTCGTTTTCTGACTAGAAATGGGCCTAGATCATTTCCTTGTGTACTGGCTTCTATGTCATGCATGCGTGTCTTGCTCGCTGTTGGTGTATATGGGTCGTCAAGATGACAGACACTAGGCCTTTGCATTTTTTCCTGCCCCTTAACACAACGTTTAAAGTGTGACTGCTTGGCTTGGGGATATTCCGCGCATTTAAGAGTTAATACAGGTGCCGCGTTGTGGAGCGCTTGCTCGTAGCTGTTAGCTGTTTGGCAGCCAACTTGCTTATTCGGGTGTCCTTGTATTCAGCTGTGGAGAGATGGTGAAACCTTTGTGGGCGGCGTCGATGGCTACATGTGTGCAAAAATATTCTCGCGAGGCCGACTTTGTCGACGTCGGACCTGATGCCGAGCCTGAAGCTTCTGAATAGGTTCACTCCACTGACGATTTTTCGCAGCGCGTCGCCAACTCCGACATCGGATGGCCTGCTGGACATCTGTTGTGATTATTTGATTACCGCCGATAACGATGCTGACACTATGGAATCGTGCATGGATGAGGCATTGTGAATAAGGTATTCTGAATAAAGCAATTTGAAGGAATCGGATGGCGAGGACGACGAAATTTCGGAGCCAATGCCCACAAGCGTGCTTGTAGCAATTGGCTACATTAATAGCCTCAGGAAGCTTGTATGCGCCACGGGCATTGGCAAAGAGCACCCTGCAGCTATTAATACACTTGAGACCATTCTTATCGCTCCTGTTCTTGAAACACGTGCATCACAGACTTTTTTGGGGAAAAAAGATTTGCGTTTTTACTCGCAGCTTTTTTTAAAGCTGTTTCATTTACTATGAACTTCGGGTTACAGCAATATAGTGTATTTAGTCGCGTAATGAACCCATCTTTTTTTTTTTTTTTTCAGAAAAGTTCACGGCAGTTTGGTGGGAGGTATCATTACGCGGGAAAAAAAAAACTCGTGGGAGTTACAGCAGCGAAAACTTCGCGCGACGGCTTTGCTTGTTTGGGCCCGTGAAATGGGCGAAAAATTTTTTTGTAGCCTGAATGTCTTCTTGTTTTTCTCGTAACAAAAGCGCACAGATCAACGCCGAAGTTTCCTTTGTCCAGCCGCTTGGTTCAAATGCTCTAGCGCTTGCTGTTTGTAACCAGCCGTGTAGCTAGCATAGCGGCCCAACGTGCCCTGCGCAGCAGGTGTCCAAACAAAGTTCACAACGACAAACCTGACAACAAAAAAGTGGCAGTTTCGCCGCAAGGGCAAAGCAATAAATACGATAGCAACAGCTAAGAATGTAACGCTGAGAACGGCTAGAATATCGAGACGTGCAGCACGCTATTAATGCACACATCACGCACGAAACAACACACACAGGATGAGAGCGAACTAACAACATTTACCGCTCGACACGTAGCGCACTGTTTAAAGAAAAACGATGCACTAATTGTAATCACAGGTACAGATATGAGCGCGAAATAACAAGTAAAAGTGCCCCAGTTGTTACGTCACTGTGTTTGAAAAGCGCACTTTTTTCACAAATGGTGCCTGTCCAGTGAGCGAAAGGATCTTTGTGCACCTGGTAACTAAACGGAATAGTTCCGGTAAAAGTGAAAGGCCCGCGATTCTTCCCACCGAAACATAAGCATGCGCGCACAAGCATCTATAGCCCCCCCCTTTCATTTTAAGTCAAATCTTGAGTCAAATGGTTTGGATAGGTTATAAATAGCATATTATAGAGAAAAATGAGTGTGCTTATCATGACCCAATTTATATTGCCATATTCCTTCCTCCAGTTTTGTTAACGTACCATATTTTCGCGCGTAGAACCCGCACCAAAAACCCAAAAATTCCAGTGGCAAAGTGGAGGTGCGGATAATACGCGAGCTTTTTCCTATAGTGCTGCTTCACAGCAATGCGTGCTGTGCTGTGAAGCTCCTTAACAATGTAGCGAAGGCTACGGAGGCGGTTTCCGCAAATTCGTGTTGCTCCGCAAGTAGCACAGCAGCTTGCGGCCGATTTCGGTTTCGCTTGCTTGCATTGTTGAGGCGTTTAGAAAAACATTTGGGAAGAGACAATTCGATTGTTCAGTGTAAAATCTCACTGTCACACCACAAGTATATTTTTTGGACGTTCGCGGCCACTCAGTGACCCTCCACATGTCCCTACGTCACGGATGCCATGTTTACTTTTGGAAAGGGCTTGCCGAAAAGGTGGGGCTGTCTAAGAAAGTTCCATAATAAATAAAGTAAGTTCCATAATAAATAAAGCAGTATGTATTTCAGCAAGGCAAATGAGATATTATAGTGTCTATAGAGATATTATCAGTAAATTGTTGTACTACTTCTTGACGCGGTAGCAGGCATGCATTTCGGTTCTGTTGTTTCCAGGGTGCTGTTACAGTGTACTAGAAGGGGTAGTGCTGTCAAGTTGTCGCCGAGTGTGAGCGCTCTTTACCTCGCTGATACCGCTAGTTCTCCACATCTCGACCCGTTTGCCAAGCCTAAGTCGATCTGTTCTGTCACCATGAATAGCGTACGGCGGCAGGCCTTCACGGCACAGCAAAAGCTTAAGATCATCGCCGTTGCCGAGGAATTCGGAAATAGCGAAGCGGGAAGACGGCACGATGTAGACGAGTCCTGCGTGCGACTGTGGAGAAAGAAGAAAGAGAGCCTACAAGCCGCGCACTGCGACCGTAGGTCATTTCGTGGCCCCGTGACCGGTGCCTACCCTGAGCTGGAGGCGGAGCTAGTAAAGTTCATCGAAGATGTGAGAAGCAGGGTTCACGCCGTATCGACCGAGATGGCCCAAGTGCTCCTCCACTGTATCTCGCTCCTCCACTGTATCTCGCGGCCGCTGGGTTGGTGAGGGCTCTATCTTAGGATCTTCTCCTAAACATTCTGGATCATTCGGCCCTCGCGCCCCGTCGATGTTTTCGATGACAAGGTCGTACAGGTGGTTCGTCATGCATAAAGCAGTAGCCTTCCCGCTGAAGTACGGGGTTTCAACCTCAATTTCTGCTTCGGGAAGCATCCGAACCGTACGGTCAATTAGGCAAACCGGTTTCGTTATGCCTGTTAACTCACTTTCCCGTACCAAATTTCTCCGCACGATAACCATGGAGCTACCGGTGTCTCTTAACACCGTAACCTTTTTGCCCGCAACTACTCCAGGCAGCGTTGGCATTCCCTTCGTAACACCGGTTGGCTGTTTTGCCATTACAGCACCCACATAGGGATTTTCTCCCCATTTTTCAACTCTACAAATCCGTCGGTGACGGCATTATCATCGGATTTCGGTGCTGCTAGCATACAGGACACCTTGT